GGCAAGTTCTTTTGTGCTGTGAATCATCCCACGTTCACCTGGTCAGGTTCTAAAGCAGATTTACAAGGCCCATGCGGACATGTCTATAGACACACATGTTCATGGGGATGTGTGGATGTACATGCCAAAGGCAGTGCTGCACACTTGCGCAGCTGAGTGTCACATTTCCGCACAGGCCAGGTGATGGGGGAGGGTGGAGCACTCAGCAGAATGGTCTCAGCTGGCAGCCTCCTCCCTGGGAAGGATACAGATCTCTCTGAAAGGGAGTGGACAATCTCAAACTTTTCCTCCTGTTCCTGCTTGCTGACTCAGTCACTTCTGGTCAAAGACAGCCTCAGCAGCCCACCACAGAGCTGGAGTGGAACTTCAAAACAAAGAACCCATCAAGAAAACAGAAGGGGAAAACCAGCCACATGACTGGAGCAGGCTGCTCAAGGGAGCAGGCCTGGGCCTCCCAATGCTCCTGGAATTCCCAGAACCAGCCGCTGCATCTCTAGAAAATGAGGACCTAGAGAATGAGGACAGAGGTGTACCAGGCAGGGAGGCCTCAGCCTGTCCTGCCCTGGGGGTGATGCTCCAACTTCCAAAGCAACACTTGGCCAGCCCTTGCCCAAGGCCTCTCCGTAAACATCCCTCACAGAGGAAAGGGCAGGGTGGGAAGATCTTCCCCTCTTCTTCTGTTCAGTTTTTTCTTTTAAATAAAATAATTACCCCACCCCCACCCTCCATCTCTGAAGTCCCCACCCTAAGCCCAAAAGAAACAGTTTAAGAGAGTAAAAAACGGTGATTCAGAACTTCCCACTGCGGTCTCGGAAGAAGCCCTCAGCAGCCTGGGCCTCCCGGAAGGTGACGGTGACAGAGTTGGCGGTGATGTCGGTCACAGTTACCTCACTTGGGGGGAGCGCAGGTGTCCAGGGAGGAGGCCCTTCGGCCAGGTCTGCCTCAGCTGCAGCAGTGAGACAGAGACAGGAAGGGCAGCGCTGACAAGGTGGGCAGTTGGGGGTGGGTGGCAGCATGCAGACCCCCCCAGCCACCCTCCCACAGGGTCCTCCCTTTGCATTTCCAGCCAGCTCAGGGGTCAGCTGGAGTCTGGACACGAGAAGTGCTCTAGGTTAGGTGGTAGGTCCACATCCAGTCCTGACTGTCCCTACCTGTGGCCACACAAGCACTTAGCACCCTCTCTGGACCTGATGACCCACATGGACCTTTTCCAGCTTTGACTGTCTCTGGGCTGCTTACCCTCCTCCTCAGGGGGCTGCTCGGTGGGCTCCCACTCGCTGGCCGCCTGTAGGGCATCTGGGGCTGGTGACTCCTGCAGGAAGAGCTCCCGTCGATGGCTGTGACTCTCCAGGTTGGGCCCGCGGGGTGGGAACTTCTTGCGTGAGAGCCGCAGGTACTTGTGGGCCTTGCGCGGCTTGCGGAGCGGGAAGGGCAGGGTGGGCACCAAGGGGCCCTTGTCCACCAGCTCGGGTGCCCCCGCCTTGACCACCCCCTCGGGGCTCCCGCTGCCGAGTGGGCGCGTCAGAGAGAAGCACAGCTTCTCCTTGCCCTTGGCCTTGTGGGAGCTCCGCAGGTCCATGCTGTACAGCCGCTGCGGGGGCAAGCCAGGGCAGCTTGGGTCAGCCCCGCCTCCCCCACGGCCACGCCTCTGCTCATGCTGCTCCTCCCACCGGAGCCCCGCACCTACCCACACAACCAACCCCCAGCTCCCAGACAGGGCCAGCCATCATCCCACCTCCCCCGAGTCCACAGCGAACCCGCCAAAACCGGCCCCAAGGGCCCCCAACAGCCCTGTCTCCTTGGAACTGGGGACACCAAACTGTGACAGGCAGCAGAGGGGCACACAAAGGTACAAACTGAAGACTGACCGATGGGAAACTAATCAGGACTTACAAAGTGAATAAATTAAAGGAGTTGTTCTTCATTTTAGAAAAGGTATCTGTGTTCATTAAAGGACCTTCAAGGCTGAAAGAGCCGGCTTGCTGGGAAGACGGTGGGAGCAGAGGGCAAAGGATGTGCTCTAGAGTCCAGGCCTCTGCGGACTCCCTGCCCCACCTTTGGCGAAGCAGAGCCAGAGGGCAAGTTCGTCTCCCGTCAAGGGCTGGAGCCTGTAATTTGGGGATTCGTCCTATTGATTTTGGGAGAATTTACATGAATCCAAGAAAGATCCTTGGTGCCAGGATGTTGGGAGATCCCGGATCACTCTCGGACAGCACCTTCTACTGCTACCTGTCAGCAGAGACCAAGCACTCCCAGGAAGAAAGTGAGGCTTTCTTGGGGACCTGTGAGGTTGAACACCTCCAAGCTGGGGGCAGAGATGACTTTTCCCTGTTGTGGGAACCATACTCAGGGGCAGGTTGCTGTGGTGAGGGGAGGAGGGCTGAACTGGGGGGAGCTGGGAAGTGGGTCCCAGAGGTAGCTCATTCTAAATCACTCCTCCCACCCCCCTAGCAGGCCAACACCAGCCCAGTAACGTCTGTCATTCTGCATCGCACATTCTTCCTGGTCCTTTGCTACCTCATCACGAGACAAATGCAGCTACAGGAAGGGATGCAGGGCCAAGGGTCAGCTGTGTGACCCCAGGCCTCCCTCAGCCTCAGTGTCTTCACCAGTGAAATGGTAGCCAGCCTCCAAGATGGTCCCCAAGGGCATCCACCTCCTGGAATTCACACTCGCATGTTGCTTCCCTCGAGGAACACTGTGGTGTGACTTCCAAGGTCAGGTCATAAAAGGCACTGCGGCTTCTTCCCTGCTCGCTGTCAGGTCACCCCCTCAGGGGAAGCTAGTGGCCAGGCTGCGAGGACCTCTGGTGGCCCTCTTCAGAGGTCCACCTGTTGAGGAACCAGCCCCCACCAACATCCAGCACTGACTCGCCAGGCCCTTGAGCAGCCACCAGAGAGGCAGATCCTGCAGCCCCAGTCATCCCTTCAGATAACTGCAGCTCTAGCTGACATCTTGACTGGAAACCAAACTGGAAGCACTAAAGAACAAGCTAAAGCACTCTCAAACTCCTGACCCACAGAAACCACATGAAATAATATTTATTACTTGAAGTTGCTTGGTTAGAGTGGTAATTTATTACACGGTAAGAAGTAAATTCATACACCTGCCCTGTAGGTTTGGTATATGGATGAAATGTGTTCATCTGTAAAACACACCAGACAAAGAGCCTCTGTCTATCAATTGTTACCTCCCTTCCTAGGCCAATTCACATCAAACCCCACAGAACACACTCACTGCAAGGAGGGAGGCCACAACTCTGGTGAAAGCCTTGGTGGTCTACACTGAGGAGGGGCCAATAGGCTTGATGTGGGTCATGTGCACACGGACTAAGAATCCTTATTTCTTGGCTTCAAATACTCTACCTGGGGGGCCTAATTAAGTTAAACAGAGCAGGTATTCTCCTCACCCTGAGTAAAGAGCTTGCCTACCATCACATAAGCATTTTCTTTGAGCACTGTGTTGCTGCTCAATGTTTTAGATTTTGAAGCATTTCAGATTTCAGATTAGGGATACTTGGCCTGTGACTACATTGCCTCCAACTCCATTTGTTTTTCAAAGCAAACCATCAATGTCAGCAAAATGCCCCCAAGACCTAAGACATGGGTGTCCTGGGAGGCTGTAGAGACTCCATACGACAGAAGGCTGGAAAAGGAGGCCCTATAGATTTCTTCCTACTCAAAATGACAGGTTTTGGGAGTCTGATATTCCAAGGCCATGGCTCCAGAATTTTAACACTCTCTGATTTTTGGATTCAATTCCAGGTTCCCATGTTTTCTCAGTTCTAAAGTTTTTATATATCTGGGGTTCTCAAGTATTATAATTTTGTGTCTGGGGATTTTGAGCATCAAAAGACTCAAAGTTTTCAAGTTTTTCTCAAAGCAAGATTCTAAGCTCTCAAATTTTCTAGGGTTCCATTAGCCACATGCCCACCCACCTACCCCCACTGCCCACCCAGGCTGTCTTCCCTGGGCCTGAGACCCATATCCAGCCTTTTCGTTCTTTTTTTTTTTTTTTTTTGAGATGGAGCCTCAAGCTATCCCCCTGGGTAGAGTGCCATGGCATCACGCTCACAGCAACCTCCAACTCCTGGGCTCAAGCGAGTCTCCTGCCTCAGCCTCCCAAGTAGCTGGGACCACAGGCGCCCGCCACAATGCCTGGCCATTTTTTGGTTGCAGCCATCATTGTTGTTTGGCAGGCCCGGGCTGGGGATTCGAACCTGCCACCTTAGGTGTATGTGGCTGGCGCCTTAGCCGCTTGAGCCACAGGTGCCGAGCCATCCAGCCTTTTCTTAACTCCTTCCCTCAACAAAGCTTACCCCCCAAGTGCCCCCAGCCCGCAGTGCCCTGGGTGGTTCTGGGGAGGGGAAGTGCATCTCAGGGGTGGGGGCTGTGGGGGAGGGAAAGGAAGGAGGCACAAAGGCAGGCCAGTTACCTGCAGCAGAAGCCGCTTGGGTTTCGGACCTCTCTTCCTATACCCCGATGCTCGGTCTCTCTCCTCTCTGGGGTGCAAAGCAGGTAGCAGAAGAAAAGGAAACACGGATGACATCTAAGGGAAAGCAAGGTGTCCACTTCACCCCCCCTGGCTGTCTATCAGGGAGGGGACACGCCCTCTAGGCTATCCCACCAATCCTCCCCAGTGTCTTCCTATTATGACAATGGGGTCAAATGCTCAACTGCCAGGACCCTGGTCTTCCCATCTAATGAATGGGGAGGGCACTGGTCTCAATCATTGAGGTGGGACTCCTACAGCATCTCCAAAAATATGTGGGTCATTACTGGGCCCCAGGGCCACATGAAGGCTCTGCTCTGAATGGTACTGGGAACCCCTCCAAATAGGCAGCTCCAGTTTCTACTTTTAGGAGAGTTACACAAAACCTGTCAATCAGATTTGCCTTGACTGTCCTAGAGTAGCTTATGAGACTGGCAAATCCTTGTGCAAATGAAACTCAGCCCATCCTCCCCCCATGTGGAATCTATATGAACTTGGGACAGAGGACAGTCTCCTACCTTGTCTGTACTATCTAGTCAGAGGACAAGGGAAAAATTAGCCTATACTGAGAGACTAGGAGATGCCAGACTCACCACTGGCTGTGTTCCCCACATATCAAAACACACAAACACAAGGTACAACTTGAGGTCACACCTGACATACACAAGACAATACAACCAGGGACTCCAGACAAAAAAGCCAGAAGCAGAGTCATTTCACTTCGCCTCCTACCTTAGCTCAATCCTTCCATAATTTCTGTAGCCGCACCACAGAAGCCACATGGACAAGCACAAAGAAGGAAGAGATCGAGGTCCACCCTCTCCCCTTTCTGGTCGTGTAACTTTGGGCCAGTCTCTCAATCTGAGCTTAGTATAAATCAGTGAACCCATGGCGACTATTCCAAATGTCTGTCTTCTGGGCAGGAGCTGCCACACCCCACAGGATACCCATCTCCAGGGCAGAGGGGAAAGGGCACCTGGCTCCACTCCATGCCTTGACACCTGCCCCTGCTCTCTGCCATACACACCAAGATATCCTGCAGGATTCTCCCAAATATAACAACCCCGTGGACCAAGCTCCCCACCTTGCACCTGGGAAGCAGAGAGTAGCTGTGGGACAGGAACACCCTGATTTTTAAAGGAAAGAACAAGGAAAACTTGTCCTTGAATCAGTGACAGGAAGCCTCCTGGGGGAGAAGCAATGAGAATCCAGCAGTCAGAGGCAGCAGAAAAGCACCTGACCCCAAGTTGGGAGCCTGGCTGAGTCGTGTCCTGCAGGTTCCCAGCTGTGAGGCTCCTGTACAGAAGCCCTCCCTTTCAAGGTCAACGTTTCCTCATCTGCCAAATGAGATCTCAGGAGGCTGCCATAAGGGGCCAAATACAAACAATTCTGTGATGTGGTCCCACTCTATACAGGGTTGGCAGGCTAGAGAGAGGCAGAGGACCTGGAGCTGCCCTCTGGCATGGGGCAGTAAGACTGAGTACATGCAGTGGAAGGTAAGAGTCAGATAGTACTCAGGACCTCCACAGAGCACTGGCAGAGATGGAACACTGAGTTTGTCCAAGGCCACTTGGCTAGGAGGGAGCCAAGGGGGACAGGCTGGAGCTCAGAAATTCTGGCTCCAGTCCAGGTATGGTGGCTATAATCCCAGCACTCTAGGAGGCCAAGGTGGGAGGATCACTTAAGGAGTTCAAGATCAGCCCAAGCAAGAGCAAGACCCTTGTCTGTACAAAAAATAGAAAAATTAGCCAGCTGTGGTGGGCACCTGTAGTCTCAGCTACTCAGGAGGCTCAGGCAGGAAGACTGTTTGAACTCAGGAGTTTGAAGCTGCTAGAACTAGGCAGAAGCCATTGCACTCCACCCGGGGCCCCACAGGGAGACTCTTTTTTCTTTTGAGACAGAGCCTCAAGCTATCCCCCTGGGTAGAGTGCTGTGGCATTACAGCTCACAGCAACCTCCAACTCCTGGGCTCAAGCGAGTCTCCTGCCTCCGCCTCCCGAGTAGCTGGGACCACAGGCGCCCACCACAACGCCCGACCATTTTTTGGTTGCAGCCATTATTGTTGTTTGGCGGGACCAGGCTGGATTCGAACCTGCCACCTTAGGTGTATGTGGCTGGCACCTTAGCCGCTTGAGCCACAGGCGCCGAGCTGAAACTCTTATATAAAAAAGAAAAAAAAAAGAAGAAAAGGAAAAAGAAAAGAGGGAGAAAAGGAAAGGAAAGGAAAGGCTCCACAGCTCACACTCTTGTTTGCCCTTCTCTTAGCTGAACTTCATAGACCTTCCTTCTAGCTTAAGTCTCCTAAGAGCTCCTTAGACTATCAGACCTGTCGCCACCAGCATTCCTGATATGGCCACCTCCTCTAAAGCTGGGAACCTTTGTGAAGCACTTTCACATTTTTCACCAAAACTGAAACCTCTCATAGGCCCCTGTAAAATTTTGTCCTGGGGAAACTGGAGTTATTCAGGGTGGCCCATTTTATAGCACAGTGACTGAGTAAAAGAAGTGACCAGCAACAGGAAAAAGGCGCAGAGTCTGCAGTTGCCCTGGGACTCTGTGCCCACCAGCTTCCCCAGCTGCACACAGCCTGGATTACCCTGGTCAGACACCCCACCCTGCCCCCAATGACCAGAGCCAGCCAGCTCTGGGCTCCCTGGGAAGCCTCGGAGTCAGTCCTGAGCCCAGCCCAAGGCAGGCAGAGGACCCCTTACTTCTCCTCATAGGCCATGACGAGGCGGGGGTCCAGGATGTGCTCTTCTGGCTCCCACGTGCTGTACCTGGGGAGAGGAATGAGAGGTCAGAGCCCCCCTGCTTCCACTTGGTTTCACAGAGGTTACAACTGCTGGGTCAGGGCCCACTGCAGGCCTTTGCCCTGTCCTGATAAGGTGTCATTATCATCTGCTCTAAGGAGCTGACCTAGCCTGGGCCTCCTGAGGGCTCTAGCAACCCCAGAGCTGCTCTTACTCATACCACAGTATCATGAGACTGGGTCTAACTCCCTATTAGGCCTCATGTCCGTTTGAGCCCTTTGGTATCTGGAAGACAGCAAGCCCCTGTAAAGCCCAGGCCCCTTCCGCCAGCAGGTGAGAGAGGGTGGCTAGGAGCTGGGGCTCTGAAGACATGAGGCCTGGGTTCAAATCAGCTCCATCCCTAACAGCTGTGTGACTTTCAGCAATTTACTTAACAGCTCTGTACCTCAATTTTCTCATCTGTATAAACTCTTGTGCTGCTTTAATGCATTCAAAGTGCTTAGAGCTGCTTGCTTTTGGATGTGCCCTATGTCTCCAGCTACTGTCCCCACCCTTCAAGCCCTAGACTGGCCTCCTCTACTCCCCCCTACCTCAGTGCACACATCTGTACCCCACCCCAGACCACACCTGAAGTTCTCTTGTCTTCAAGAGAACTTGAAGGCTGGCATACAGCAGGCATTTGTTAAGTATCTAGTGACTGAATGGCTCCGCAATGCTACACACAGGCCCCCTTGGTATTGCTACAGAGGATCTTCCACCAGCCTCAGAGCTTACCCATCTGTGGTACCACCTCCACTTGTATCTAGGGTATTTGCTTTTAAAGCAGCTCATTTTTTTGTTGATTGTAAAAACTAACTATGAAAAAATCAGCATCCCTCACCATAGGTGCAAGTACAAAAAATTTTTCAATTAAAAAAATGTATGGGCGGTGCCGTAGCTCAGTGGGTAGGGAGCCGGCCACATACACCGAGGCTGGTGGGTTCAAACCCAGCCCAGACAACAACAACTGCAACAATAACAAAAATAGCTGAGCAACATGGCAGGCGCCTGAAGTCCCGGCTACTTGGGAGGCTGAGGCTAGAGACTCACTTAAGCCCAAGAGTTTGAGGTTGCTGTGAGCTGTGACACCAGAGCACTCTCCCAGGGCGACAGCTTGAGACTCCATCTCAAAAAAAAAAAAAAAAAAAAAAAAAAGGGCTTGGTGTCTGTGGCTCAAGAGGCTAAGGCACCAGCCACATATACCAGAGCTGGCGGGTTCAAATCCAGCCCAGGCCTGCCAAACAACAATAACTGCAACCAAAAAAAAAATGGCCAGGCCTCGTCCTAGCTACTTGGGAGGCTGAGGCAAGAGAATCGCTTAAGCCCAGGAGTTGGAGGTTGCTGTGAGCTATGATGCCAGAGCACTCTACCCAGGGTGACAGCTTGAGGCTGTGTCTCAAAAGAAAAAAAAAATGTGTACGGTGATGTGCAGTGTAACGTTTTGGTCAGCAACAGACCACATACATGACAGTGTCCTGAACATTATAATGGAGCTGAAAAAAATGTTATCACCTAGTGACATCTTTTTTCTTTTTTTTTGAGACAGAGTCTCAAGCTATTGCCCTGGGTACAATGCCATAGTGTCACAGCTCATCGCAACCTCTAACCCTTGGACTCAAGCAATCTTCTTGCCTCAGTTTTTGTATTTTTAGTAGAGACAGGGTCTCAATTTTTGTTCCAGCTGATCTCAAACTTGTGAGCTCAAGCAATCCGTCTGCCTTGGCCTCCCAGAATGCTAGGATTATAGATATGAGCCACTGTACCCCACCTTCTTCTTCTTCTTTTTTTTTTTTTGAGACAGTCTCATTTTGTCTCCCTTGGTAGAGTAACATGGCGCCACAACTCAAGCAACCTCAAACTCTTAGGCTTAAGCAAGTTTCTTGTCTCAGCTTCCCAAGTAGCTGGGACTATAGGAGCCCACCACAACGCCTGGCTATTTTTAGAGACAAAGTCTCACTCTGGCTCAAGCTGGTCTCGAACCTGTGACCTCAAGCAATCCACCCACTTTGGCCTCCCAGAGTGCTGGGATCATACACATGAGCCACTGCACTTGGCCTCTAGTGACATCTTCATGATCCCAAAATCTGTGCCTTTAAGGAAACTTGTCGCCTTCCTGGTTCTTAATAGTGGCCTTTTGACTGAATCCAAATTTTACATACAAACCCTTTTATTAAAAGGAGCAACAGAGAACTAGGAAGCTTTTTTTGCCTCCTTTGGTACTTAACAACAATCTTTTCTTTGAGACAAAGTCTCATTATGTCACCCTGGATAGAGTGCTGTGATGTCACAGCTCATAGCAACCTTACGCTCTTGGGTTTAGGTGAGTCTTTTGCCTTAGCCTCT